TGGATCTTCATAAATTCGATTTCAGAATTCAGATTCAGCCCAATATTTGGTTAGGAGTTTTGGAAAAGTGAAACCATTTTAAGTTTTAGTTATAAAAATACTCTCTTGCTTAAGTAACAAAAACTACCTTTTTTTTTTCCTATTTTTTGTCTATTGTAGAAACATAATTTTTTTGCGATTGGAAATATATTATTTTGAAAAAAAAAAGTGCAATTGCATATAAATTATTTGAATGGAAAAAGTAAGTTAAAAGTAAAAAACATTATTTTGACAGAAACGAAATATTTTTTACGTGGATGAATATGAGATAATATAATATAATGCAATAGAAAAATAATAAAATATTTAATATAAATGATCAATAGTTAAACAATATGAATAGAGAAATAGTGATTTTTTTGAAAATATATTTTAATAATTGCTTTTTATATTTAATGTGAAAGGCTACACTTCTCTAAGAATTCTAAAAAATAAATAAACAAAGACCAAAGAATTTCCACAAGAATACAAGAGAATGCCAATAAATAAACAAACAAAGATGAAGAAATTTACACAATAACCAGTATTCGACCATGTGATTTACACATATGTAAATAAAGTATTATAAATTATTTGTATGTAGATAATATTAATATTAATAAGTTAAATAATGATATTATATTTTAAACATAGAATATTATAAGTGCATACAATATTAAATTTATAAGTTAGATAACGATATTATGTTTAAAAATTTGATCATTGGTTAAAATAAATAGTACATAACTATTCGATTGCATGTGAATCACTATATGATTATATAAAATGCAACAAATAATATAATTTTTGTAATGTTGAGGGATCATAACCAATTAATTAGCTGAAAAATATTAAATTTATTATAAAAATTGCTTATGCGATTTTAAGGGATTTTACTATGACATTAAAACAAATTAATTTATTTAAAAAACAATTTCTTAATCAAATAAAAAGATAAAATATGGATTTTAGAATAATAAACTTGAACAAAAAATTTTACAATATAATTTTTTATGTTTATGTAACTTTTATATATCATTAAGTATGAAATATAATTATTAATTTTAATAATAGCTATTATCTGATACAATATAAAAATATAATTATTACTCAATTAATATAAAATATAATGACTTTTGTCTTAATTAACCCAATAAAAAAGGCGCAAGAAAAAAATATTTTATCATTAATGGAATATGGTGAATTAATGTNTTTAATTGTAACAAAAAAAAAACAACAAATAGTATTATTAAATCTTTTGTTAGTACACATACACACACACATATATATATGTATTAGATAGATAATAAATTGAATTGTAACAATTTTTAGCAAGAAATTATAGAGATTTTATTAAATGATCGGCCAACAATTATATATAGATATAGATACAAGGGTTCTATGGATCTTAACTATTAGACAATCATATTTTTTCGACAAATATACGTACCTTTAAAGTTTACACTTCATAGGATAAGTATGCATTTTAAAAATGCAGATAAAACAGATCAACCATTCTAATAGCTAGATTGATATATAGGAATTGGACCATATATATGCTCACCGCATCATATTTCACATCAAAATCTTAACTTGGACCATAAAACCTTTTCATTCAACTTTTATTCCAGAAAACAGATCGTACAAGCCCCGATTCCAAAACTTGCCTGCCAAAAACAGCCTTACAGCACCACAAAAAACACAAGAACCAACAAATAGTTAACCAAGACATTATAAATCATAACATTACAGAACAAATTTACGATCATGATTACACGACTCATCTTCAGTATGAATGATTTATGATCAGCTGGGAACAATATCGTAAAATTATTCGAAATATACAGGGATAATCGACAATTTTACAAAGCAGCCTGAGAGAGAGGGGTACCAATCATACACAACCTAAAGGTAAAATAAATCATGTAAGTTACAGTAGACAAAATTTCAGGAATATTGTAAATTAAACTAGATTTACTTTATGTTCATCAAGTAAATCTACATACATATATATACACTGGAACGAAAATCATTCCCCGTTCTTCCATTCGCCATACCAACTCTAGTCTCTAATATCTTCATGATCCGACAACCATAAGAAGAAATTCTCAGGCACAATACACCACCTAATGAACGATAACCTAACAAAGAATAGGAGAGAATAACCAAAGACGTATGCACATTAAATAGATAGGGTAAAATCACAAAATCTACCCTTGAGGTCAAGCCTGATCACTCAAAAACACATTTTTACCATTCAAAATAACAAATAAGCCCTTCATATAATATGAACATCCCCTTGAAGTTTGTAATTCATTAACAAATACAACTCCAGTAAGAGCGTGTTCCGTAAAAATAGAAAATGACAATGAAGATGGCACTTGTAAGTTGTAACTATGAAAGGTAGCTGGGTTTAAAGGTAATTAGACAAAATGTAAAAGGTGTACGTATATATATACACATAGATATTGTAAATAATCCTCAATAAAAGAAAACACAATAGGACACATACCAGTGATACCATTTTGAAGATGATGCCGTTAACTTGTTATCTTGGCCTCCAATATGGGCCTGAAACAACAAAAAAGAACAATTTAAAAAACATGCAAAGGAGTAACACAAGTAACCAAAATTTGCAGAAATTGGCTAAAAGCTATCTTTTGTGGTACACCTCAAATATTGGTACAACTCATCAGATTCACAGCTGAATATTAGCTTCATAGCTTTTTATGTTTAACTGAACTGGTTTGCTTCTCAGACAAAACTTGCATTAAATTCCACCTTTGAATTGCCCTAATTATAATTGGAGGTGAGAAATATACCACCAACATATACATTTCTTACAAGGATGAATTAAAATCTTCAAGAGACTCCTTAATAATTATGTCCCATAACATTTAACATCGGTTCATGGACTCAAGTGCAAGCAATCACAAATTGTAAATCGTTATGTTTTCTCCCTAAGAAAAGATAGACTAAGAAAAGATAGACACGCGCACCTCTATTTGCCACAGGTATAGGACCTTCAGAAGGTAGCCTGTAAGGATTGAAATGTCTGTGGTTCATGGGCCTCGAAGGGTAATTCCACCTATTGTGTGGGCCCGGTGGCTCTCGAGGTGGCCCACCATACGGCATGGGTCCATTAGCCATCCTGGATTCATCATGATAGCATTGACCTGGGAAGATAAAAAGAACATTATGATCTATAGTCATTTTTAAAAATTGTTAATCCCTAAAATTACCAAATGTCAAAACAAACCAAACCAGGAAAGATTTTCTTTCCCCCCTATTTCACTACATGAATGTTGACACCAAACCAGGAAAGATTTTCTTTCCCCCCTATTTCACTACATGAATAAACATTGCATGGGGGCATTTGTAACCTTGGAAGATAACAGAAGAAGCTCTTTAAAAGGCTAAGGGTGTGTTTGTATATCAAAAAACTCAATGCATACTCAAAATCTAACTCAACTTTAACCCAACCCCACTATCCTCAATTTTATCAATATAATTAAATAATAACAATCAATCATTTTACAAATCTCATCAACTTTAATTCACTATTCATCCACTCACATAATTTTAACTAACCATCACTTCATATCATCTCTCCTACTTTTAATCAAATAAACTTTAATTATTTTAAATATTATTTTAATATAAGCTCAAAAAATCCCACTAACAACTAACCATCCCACTTTTTTTCCAAAAATTAACCCTGGTCAACCAAAAAAAAGAAAAACTCATTTTGAGCTGATTTATTTGTAAACAAACACACCCATAATTACCCGAGATGGATGGATATGGAGGCCTCCAGCCCTCTCCAATATTATCACGTTGGACATACTTATTTCTGTCGCGGTCCCTGTAAAAGTTTCCATTATCCGAATTACGAGAATGGAATCTGTTGGGACGGGAAGGCGGTGGAGCATCCCTCCGCGAATGCACCCGTTGTTCTTGGACGTACGAGAACTGATTTGAAGGGGCAGGATGAGGAGGCCGCAAATGGAAGCTCTTGCCATACCCATCATTCGGCTGCTCGCTACCACAACTTCTACTAGAAAATCGAGACGTATGTCGATCGCTAAAACAACCATTGTCCTGCACGTGTCGAGGAACCTCAGCTTCATAATCCTTGTTTTCACGAACACGATGGTGCACATGATGACCCACACTCGTGGGCTCCCGCAAATTGCCACTATAATTCTGCAGGTCCAAAAATTGCAAGTCATCAAAAAGGGGAAAAAAAAAAACAAGGTAGCAGCTAAGGGCGCAATTGGTAACGGATCGAAACCGGTTTTGATTGGATTTCGAGTTAAAGTGAGTTAATTTTAAATAAAGTTGGTTGAGTGGATGATTAAGTAGGATTTTGGGTTTGTATCTAAATAATATTTAAAGTCGATGTGATGTAAAAGTAGGAGAGAGAGGATATTAGAAATGATAGGTAGTTAAAAATGTGATTGAATGAATAGTGAATTAAAGTTGTTGTGATGTGTGAGGGTGATTGATTGATATTATTTAATTATATTGATAATATTGAGGAGAGATGGGTTTAGATTAAATTTGAATTGGATTTTGAGTTAAAGAGTGTAAAAAAATTATCCGATCCATCAAATCAAATCTGTTAACAATCGCGCCCTAAATTACCAAGAATGATAATGATTAATGAAACCAGTACAGAATAGAACCTGAGAACTCGAATANAGTCCAACAAAATTACTGTTGGAAGCGATTTCATCTTCACAGCAGGGAGCTACATCCTCCATTTCAAGCTCGCCATCAACATCTTCCAAAATATGCCGATGCTTTTCAATTGCATGAACCGGATTCGAATCTCCCTCGTGATTATCAACATTGTGCTCTGGTGTGACAGCTTCAAAGCTCTCGCCATCAGAATCACTTCCAGCATCATCATCATCCCCCAGAATACGAGGCATGCAAAAACCAGGAAGCTGAATGCTCGAGTTGCTAAAAGCAAAGGCTGACTTGAGTAAGTGATGGTCCAAAGATAATGAATCAAACAAGATAATGAAAATAAAGTACCTCCCGTATTCATCCACCATCATCCCCTCCATCTCTCTGATAGGATCGTCAAAAGCTCTTTCATTTCTCAAGGTTCGGTTAGAGCCCATAGTGGGATATGAACCACAAAGTGCATCAAGCTCCCGGATGTGGTGGCGAATTATCGGTTCTGGAAGAATCTTTCTCTCCTGCCATACTTTCAAAACCTATTCACCAACCCAAAGAATATTAACAAAATGCTTTTATCAAATAGAATACAAAATCATCAGAAAAGGCAGAGTGTAAACATGAAGGGAAGCACCATTTGCACTTACTTTCAAACATTGCCTATGATTCTCATGAGAACTACTACTAGGAGGGGCAGCAGCTAATAATAAACGGGGCAAGAGTGCTTGGATAGCAGATGGATATACACCACCATCACCTACATAGTCAATCAACATATTTCAATATAGATGCCAATGATGTAGAGGTCATATACAATGATAGCAGCATGGACGAACTTAGCTTTAGTTACCTTTAATGCCTCGAGAGCACTGGGTGATAGAATCAACGAGGAAAAATAAGTCAACCTTTTTGTGCAAACTTGACTCGGTCTCCAAATTATGCGCCAGTATTTCCACCACCTAGGGCAAAAAGTATAACAAGGCATTGTTACGGATATTGTATGCTATCATATAGTACCCTCTGGAATCATCAGCAATTCGTATAGGGAGATGTGACGGTGACACGGGTGGGAAAAAAGAAAAAACTATAACGTTAAGCAAGCAATCCTCTGGATCAATTTGTGGTGGACAAACTGTGACAAACTAAAACTACATCCAAAAAAATACGATGAAGATCAATCATAGTGGCTGAATTGTAACTAAATAAAACACCGCCAAAAGGATCACCAAAATTATATAGTGAATCACTCTCATCTATACACTTCTACATTTTCCAATTGAATATACAACATAAATGAATCTTATAATGTAACAATGATAGTTAGTAACCTGGATAACTGAAAACCACATCAGGGAAACCAGATGCTGCATAACAGTGCAACTTCTTAGAAAAAAAAATTATATCCAAAAAAAGAAAGGTAAGCAAGGCGCCAGGCAGAGAGAGCGCACAAAACATATTATAATATATCCAAGTTGTATCAATAACATCCATAAGAATAAATTAAGATGTCCAGACCAATTTAATACCGTCAACAGATGTATATGGTAGGCCACAATATGCAACAAGATAATTACAAGGTAAATATGTTGACAAAAGCAACTTCGTTAAACATCATATGGTTCTAGCAAAAAAGGCCACCACATTCAAACAAAGTGAAGGTTTGAAAGAAGTCTACCTTAGTTGCAAAGCCAAATTTGGCACAGTCAATTGCAATCCGCGTAGCTCGACCTATGCTCTCTTTTGTCCGTGTCAAAGATTTGATGATGGCTTCAAAGGAAGACAAAGCTTCACTTTTGCTGCTAGACTTTCCAGCAAGTTTTGCTTTTTCTAGATGTAAATGAACATCAGGACAGCAGGAACTATTATTTAAAAGAGATCTCTTATTATCTAAAGCAGACATGTGGCAGATGGAGGAACTAGGAGGAGAAGTTCTTGCAACAGATTCTGGCCCATCAGTCAGAGATGAAGACGACTGAGTCGCTGAAACAGTTTTATCCTCCATATGTTCATTGGAACTGTAAGTCGAATAAGCTAAAGATTGAACATGCCCGCTATTCAAAACCTTCATTGGAGTAACAGGTTGCATAATTTTCGAATTCAACGACGATGGTCTTGCTTCTTCCACATACTCACACCTTAAAAATTAAAACACAAAGACAGAAAGCAAGGTAAACAAACTGCATATTGAGAAAAAATAAAGTGATACAAGCATTTAAAACTTCTTACATCATACTGTCTGGGTTATGCTCAACTGAAGGAAGGTCCTTTGTCTTGTGTGCTTCACCACCATTATCATCTGACCGGTTACAAATGTCAATATCAGGTATACCAACAGCAATATCTTGCATAGAGGTAGAATCTGCCGGTATCTGCAGAATATCAAAATCAGATCCCTTAGCAGCTTCTTTCAACTCCGTGCATCCAGTTATGCAGTGGTCAGTGGGGGACATCACTGCACTTGGTGCATTGCAGTTTAAATTAGCCAACTGATCACCTAAATTTTCTGTTTCCATTTTCAAATGATCCTCAGCTATAATGTCGGTCTCCACATGGACCTCAACAAATGGAATTATGTCTGGACCTCTGATACCATCACCTTCCGCTTCTCCACCTGAACCAGTGTGCATTTCAGGATTCTTGCTTTCGGTAGTATTAGCTTTACCATCAGTGGTATTAGCTTTACAATCAGTAGTATTAGCTTTACCACACTCTGGTACAACCCTAGTAGTAATTTCTGCGTCAATTTCTGACCTTACATCTGACACAACGCATGGCTGGGGAGCACTCAACACTGAATCACCATTCGGTAGATCGTCCATGGTTTCAGACCCTAACCCTGTCATTTCTTTCCTTTCCTCAGACATCTCATAGCATTCCAAAGAGGAAGAAGCACAGTACCCATTGCTCTGAATATTGGCTGCTGGTGAAGAATTGAAAGTTCTTCGACAATCTTCAGCCACATTGGCAGACATGGCCTCCAGTGCACGATGCAGACGTTTAGACGGAGGTAAAGCAGCTTCCCCATCAACAAAATTCTTTCTTGTTTCCCAAAACCTGGGCCTATTAGCAGGACTTTCATGCACTAATGACGAAAGAGCTGGTTTTTCCTTGACGGGAACAGATTCTTTGTTAGCATGATCCTCCACCTTGGAACTCAAGGGCTCATAGGACTGCACAGAGCATCTTTCAGGAACTTCAGACAATCGTTCCTCTCTCTGCACTGAAGGAAATTCGGCCTCAGCTGTCGGTGATGGTCTGCCCATACGAACTCTGGCTCTTTTGACTAGTGGCAAGTGTTCATCACTATCATCCTTAGCCTGTTTTTGGTCTGGTTTCTCACTAAAACTGGGTGAAACAAGTTCAGTTTTGATCTCTTCCGCATCCGAAACTACTATATTGAGTTTAGGTGCGTCGACTGTACCGTTGTTGTGTCTTTTGCGATTAGGCTTCCTCTTCTTCTTCATAACATTGTTGCTTTGGAAGTCAAGTCTATCACTTAACTCTGTTTCACCTTCATTGTTTTCAGCAGTGGGCTCCCCAGTTCCTACCGGTTTACTAACTGAGTCGACAGTGCTGCCATCATCAACACTAATTGTATCAGAGTTCACACTCAATGTTCCAGAATTACCCTCTTCAACATAATCATTTGCTTTAATAGCAAGTGGGTCGATGTTCTGCCCATCAGACTCATCGGACGACTTGACAATCCTCCGACTTCTTCTCAAAGATCTGTCAGATGCACTAACACCAAAGCGCCTAGAGGACCTATTACTATTAACAGAAGGCAGAGTTGTACTCTGTAGCCTATTATCTGTCCTTGAAGAGCTTCTTAACCTTCTCACAGGCTTCTTCTTTGTTGAGCCACTGTTTCGTGACCTGGCAACATCTGTTTTGTTTCTTGTTAAATAAGGAGTAGACGCTGGTATTTTGTTAAACACTGCATTATGAATGTTTTCATTCTCAAAAGCATCATCGGTGGCAGCAGCTACAGCAGCTTTAGTTAGAGAGTCCAGATCATTAGTGGTCCCAGCAGAGAGCGGATCAACCTTAACTACAGGAGCTTCATCCTTCCTAGATGCAACAACGGAGTCTTGCAAGTAGTTCTCATTGACGATAGCAGTTTCCTCAGTACCATTAGGCCCACTAACTTGTTCCTGTTTCTTCAACTTTTCATAACACTCGATTATCTCATTTGCTGCTCGAACAAAATCTGCACCTTTCCCATGGCGTTTTCCCAACAAGGACACTTTCTTCTCTTCTGTGAATTCTTCTATATCGACTGGATTACAGAAAGCACTGTACAAAAGAAACAAAAGGAAGAGAAAATTGGGAAATCTTCTATATCGACTGGATTACAGAAAGCACTGTACTAAAGTCAATATTACAATAGATGTAACCATAAACACACACAAAACATACATAACTATAGTTCCATTGTCATGCTGTTAATTTCTCAGCAATGGTGTTTCAATTCAAGTTGCAACAGTCAACATCTCAAGGAAATAAAAGCACAGAGTTGAAACTCATAAAAAATTATAAGTAATTTTCACATACATATAAACTCGCATCATAAATTCTATGTTTCGGGTGACGGACAATTGCATTAAAAGAAATAGAGCCCATTAATTTGAACCCTGCACTAACGCTATAACATGGTAAATGTAAAGGAACTCGAGACATAATTTCAAAATAACATTCTCTCTGAGCTATTTTGGTATTTTGACACCTATGAAGCATGAGCCACCTGTCGCATAGAATACATGAACATATCATCAACCGACACTATTTTCTTCAAGTATTAGAGATACATATCAATCGGGCCATCAAACCATGAGCAACTACAGATTACCAAATCTACTTGTACAGAACAAATCACAGAATATTACTCGTGTGACCATCCTATGACACAAAAGAAGTTCTAAAAGATAAACATAAAAAAAAGTTCTAAAACATCATAAATATGGATGGATTGGTTAGACAACTACAGATAAAAATAACATATATACTCATTTCATGTAGAGAGCTTTCTTGGAGTGTTACTTTCACTCAGTAGCTACACATGGCAATAAAAGGAAAAAAAGGCTTACACAACAAACCGAACAGCGGAGTGTTCATATAGAGTTGGCAAATAGCCATGCAACATGCTAAAGGCCTCACAAATGAGTATAAAAATCATAGTTATTGCAAAAAAGGCTAGAAAGGCCAAGAAACGAAACGAATTAGGATAGAAGTCAGCAAGTAGCACTGACCATACAGTAAAGTCACAATCACGTGATAAATGACGGAACCTAAAAAGGCATACACCAGGAATAAGAACCTAAGACATGCCACATAAAAAACATAGTAATATCATCAATGGATACTTAACAACAAGAGGACAAACTTATTATAAATATTAATGTAACTTGAAAAACATCAGTACTCACATTTGCTCACAGCCGAAAAATTGTACTACTATTTTCTTATAATCAGCAGCGTAACCCCATTTCCCTGGCTCGCTGACCTGCCATGTGAAAATAAGACTGTCAATAAACTTTTGAGTTACAAACAAAACAATAATGTAGACAACCATCCACTGCCCAAAGTCAAACAAGCTTTAAGGTAAGGACACTAAGGCATGATTCACTGGTACGAGGCAATATAACCTAGTATCAACATCTTCACCCAGCAAAATACACAGATAACCACTGATGCATTATTCCATTATCACCTTATAATTGTTAGAGATGAAATCATGCAAGTAGAAGGGACAAAGGGAAGGATAATGAATTGCCCGACTCACGCTTAACCAGTTTAGAGAGGTGAGTTTTTTAAACACAACATACTGTCATTAGTTTCATTTTTTTAGGGCTCTGGAAGAAAAGCTTTTCAATTGAGTTATCGAGTTCATCTCTCCATTCTAGTTCAACTCTTCCTAACCTACGTATCCTCACATCTTTCTACGACTAATGGAAACCGGATATCAAATTCATGGACTAAAGGGAGAATTGCATCCAGTAAACTTCATGACCAATATTTCACTACCTGCCAAACAATTCTTCGAGAAGCAAAGTTACACATAAAGAGTACAGTTGTTTTCCTTGGCAAAAAGTATAAAACTGAGTTGGCCTAGAAAACGGCAATTTTGTGAAGGTAAAATTAAGTTTAACTTGGCCATGTAGTTCCGTTCTGCTCGAAACATGGGGGTGTTATACAGTCCCAATTTCAAAGAATCTTTCAAGCTCTCTACTTCTGGAATTCTTTCTATCAAATATGTTAGGTTGAATTCTAGAATAATCCGTATAAAATTGATGAAAACACAGAAAAGATCAATGACTATTCTATTTTATTTCAAAAAATATATGAAAATACTTTTCTATACAGTTTCATACTATCCGCCATGCACTATTCTTGTAATTACAGTCCCCTTAGGCCTTCACTTCATTTACAACTAAGAATAACAGATTTTTTTCAATGGTCAAGACGGTGCCCAAAAATAGTGACAGTTGCACAACACGAGCGTAGATTGGAACTTGATAGGGATGATAAGATAGAACAGAGTTTAAACTGCCCAAAAATTCACTCCCCAGGTAGAGTTGTAACACAAATAACAACAGACAAAAGAAAAATAACACACAAACTGGGGGAAATATATGAGACTACATCGGTTCTTATCAGATTATATGGAATAGATCAAAAGACGAACTAGATTCATGTTTTCAATAACTATGATGGAATAAGAGAACCAAAATCAGATATTAGATCTTTATACAAACGGTTGGAAAGATGAATACAAATTATACCAAATCAGCTAACTCCCTTAAACAGACAGCCTAGCTACATTGTGGAATTGGAACTTGTCAAAATGAACCTGAGTTGCAAGCTTGTTGAGAACTTTCTGTCATACTTAGTTATCTAAAAGATTCATAAAGCAGCCCCTTCAAAATCGACCTTCAGTTTCTTCTTTAATACTAACATTTCATTAAGTTTCTCTATAAAACTAAACTTCATAACATTTCATTAAGTTTCTTCTTTAAAACTAAACTTCATAACATTTCATTAACACCAAGAATTATCCAAGACATCAACTTTCGAGCCAAAAACTTAAAATTTCGGGGGACAGATCCAGTACGGTTGGTGCATACAAACCCCAATTAGACAACACTAAACAATAAAATGAGCATACAAGAAAGCTCAACTTAACAGATGCTTAAAGAAATGCGCATGCAAGAACTCCCAACTAAACGGATGAAATGAAAAATCAAGAAACAATAATAATAAATTCGCAGAAAAGACATACAGTTGCAGGCCACGCTGGAAATCCTTTGACTTTGGCAAGCACAAGTTCCCCGACCTTCCACTTCCGCCTGGCAGCGGCCGCGGCAGCCGCTTTGCTGACACCCCTTCTTCGGCTCGGCGCCATAGAGCCACTACACCAACCGAGAAATCCCAGGCATTGAAGATCAATCAAATTGAAGTATCGAAAACCGTAATACCCCGCTGTAAATTATGCGCTTCCTGCTACCAAATCAATTGGGGCAGATATAAGCGCTTATTTGAGTTCAATCAAGTTGACTGTGGCTAAACCCTAACCCTAATCGGAAGAGGGTCACAGTTGGGTGCGGGTGAAGGGTGGAAGAAAGGTTGTGTGAATGATAATGGGTGAAAATTACAGATGTGAAACGGGTCGGTTTGATTTTAGTAGGGGGGCGGTGCTAACGTGCGCCAGTGGGGTGTGCTAGAGAGCGCGTCGGCTCACGTAGAAACATTGGAGGCTTTGGAGCCACGACTCTAGTGTCTCTCTGCTAATTGGGTCGTAGCACGTTACTTTCGAAGTTTCAGTTAAAGGCCCAAATCAGTGGGCCATTTTGGTTTTTCTAATCTGGGCTAACCCAAGCCATTTTTATAAGAACCTCTCTGAATTAAAGACACTCTCCAACCCTTTTAAAAAATGTTTTTCTTATTTTAACTCATCATGTCATTATCCTATTTTTTTCCCTTTTTAACTGCCATAATTAAATCTAATCTAATAATTGTTAATGGGTAGTTTTCTCCTTCTTCTCTTATTCATCTACACGCAGACCACTTTTATTTTCCCCCCATATCATCATCTTCTTCATTTTCCTTTCTTTCATTTTGTTCTTTCCTTACTCAAATTCACAACACAATATTTATTTCTCTTCTTCTTATTCGTCATACTTCCTTAATTTATGATAAAAAAAACCAAATCAAAATTATTCTCCATCTAACCTACTCACACAACACCAAATTCGACGGTGGGGCTACGAGCGGCGACTTTGTCTAGGGGCGGTGTGCCCATCATGTCTCGAATTTGGGGACTGACCGGCGATGACACGACCCAGCAATTGGCGGGCTTCAGCCGAGGGAGGCGGTGGCTTTCGAGAGGTCTGCGTCGGTAGGTGGCGGACGACTGATGATTGACAGCGGGGACTGGAATCTTAAACGAGTGGCAGCCGGTAGACTGGAATTGCAAATTGCCACTCATACAGATTGTCTTCTTGGATTGATTTAACCTTTGATAGCTCTATTAATCAGTAAAATTTTGATATTATCTATTTATTTATTTTGTTATTTAAGTGGTTATGCATCATTTATTTGTGTCCAACATCTCTGACTTTTATGATTAACAAATTAGTGAATTGTGAGATGAATTGTTATTTCGCCTTTTTTTGTTGTCACGACATTGGTACCTTATTTGACATATGTTACATTATTTTTAAATGTTATTTTTTTAATGTTATTTGATAGGTGCTTTTATGTGACCTCCGATTCCGGCTATTTCTGCCCGAGCTGCCGGAGGTACTAGACCAAAGGCGTTGCCTTGAGGAATATCCCAGTTGGTTGTGGCTCCAAGAATAACGTGGCTTCAGTAATTTATTCTTAGGCATTCATGATGTTTGAAGAAGAAGAAGAACAAGAAGACAAATGAAGAAAAAGAGAACGAAAGAAGTGAAAAAAATGCGATTCNATTTTTATTTTTGGTTGCTTATTGTAGTTTTGTGATTTGCAGATAAGAAGTTTTTTTTTATTTTTGGTTGCCTATAGTGGTTAATGGAGTGAGAGAGAAAAAATTCTAATATTTACTTTTTGAATTGGAGACGGTTATTGGATACAGTTACTTGATATTACAATTTGGAAATGTTTGGAGTAATTTTGGAATTCTGTCTCCCATGTATCTTTTATGTAATTTTTTTTTTAAGGAATGGTTTAGTTATGTCTTTTCGCCGAATCTCTCTATGTAATGTATCTTCATGGAGATATATATTGCACTTAGTCATCAAGTTGGTAGTGGATTTTGTATTTTAAAATTGAATGTGGAGAATTATAGCTGTTAAACGAAATATGTTGTTTGTGAGATATGTTTGACTAACTCGAGCGTGTGCAAGTCGAGTTAAAATTGAGCTTGAGACCGTTTATTGATTCGTTCTGTCACGGGTCTGAGTCAATAACAGTTCAAGCCCAAACTCGAGTATCAAGAGCTCGAGCTCAACTCAGCTCATTTACTCTTCAATATGCAACTAAGAAAAAATGTATGAATTAAAATTTATAATCTTTACATCTTATTACCAAATAATCAAAGTTACACCGCTAATTGTGGGTTTCAAAAAAATAATTATATTGTACCAAACTAAGAATTAAAAATCAAGAAAAATAATCAGCTAAATAATGAAGAAACATATTGTTGTTATACGAAATTTGACAATTATAATAACAGGGATTAATTAAGTAGAAAGCTGTAAAATAGTTGGATTTTTATTATCTTTAAGTCTGGTTCGAGTAACAAAAAGCCTGTTATCTGTGGAACCGAGTTGTTTTATATGTGAATTAAATATGTCTGAAAAAGATCCTCGTACAGGAATAAATGATGTTATTTATAGCAACTCCGGACTCGTTCTTCGAGGTTAATTCGGCGGCATTAAATGCGATTTAACGTCTATGGGCAACTAGCTTGCAGGTGGTCCCACATGTAATGATGGTTGTATAGGCGACAATCGACAGGCGTCCCATCTGTGTCTCCTCCTATCTCCTGATCTCGGTTCTTCATGGAAATCAGTATTCGTCTCATCTAGGAGGTCGGTTCTTCTTCCGGCTCACGTTGAGTTCTATTAATTCATTTTTCTCCTAATCTTTTGTGCTCGGTGGGGTCTAATGATAAGTCTTCCACGTGGCATTTACTGATTTGGCTTATCAAGTCGGTTGTCAACACATATCATAAGTTATAACTAATGATATGTTCGAAAAGTGATGTGTTTCGAATATATGTGAAGAAATTACAGTATTACCAAATTTATGCACGGACAAAAAGAACTGAAAAATATGGAGCACCTGATAATAAGGCTATGTTTGGTAAACCTAGCTGATAACTAATAAGCTAACTTATAGCTTATTTTAGTAATTTTTGAGCTTATAGCTTATAACTTATGACTTATAACTAAAAAGTTAGCTTATATGATAAAAGTATTTGGTAAAATTAGCTGATAAGCTAGCTGAAATAAACATTTCAACGAGCTTATTTGAAAAGCTACGAAAAGAAGCTTATCAAATAAGCTCGAGCTTTTTAAATAAGCTCGTCCTACCAAACGGGGCTTATTTAAATACAGGAACCTTATAAGCTAATCAAATAAGCTATAAGCTAGAAAGGTTAATAACTATAAACTATATGTATTTCAATTAAATGTGAAGAAATTGCAGCAGTACACGATAATAAATATGTATGACGTGTATTTTAATTAAATGTGACGTAATTACATTATTATTCTATTTAGCTAAAAACGTGTATTTCAACTAAATGTGAAGAAACTACAGTATTATTCAGTTTACGCATGGACATAGACAATTGGAAACGCGTACGTATTTCAATTAAATTTAAAAAATGAAAGCTTGCAATTAAATTAAATATATGTAAAAACAAAATACAATATTATTCAGTTTATTCAGTTTATGCACGAACAAGAACAAATGACTGATATGCACAACCCGATAATATAATTAACTAAATTTTTGACGTGTACTACTTTAATTAAATTAAATGTGAAGAAATACAATAATGCAGGATTAAAGAAAAAACAAATCCTTATCTCATTATTGAAACTTAAGGAAATGATACGATCCGTAACGTGATAGTAGCATCTCCCTAAAACTTGACATGGAATATTTTGCAACTAGTTTGATTGGCTGTCTAGACATTATTGCGCTTGAGTGGATCAGTGAGCAATATTTGAATAATACTAATACCAACCACTTTTCCAATTACAATAATGTTCTTTAATACCACACGGTTTGTCTAATGAACGGTTTTTATCATACTTCTTTCAAACCTAACAATTAGATTTCAATATATAATAAACTTAGTCATATGACCCAAAGTCCAAATTTAAAATACAAATTATTGTGTAAAGTCTAAATGTTAGAGTAGTCAATTCGTCATAATTTATTAAGAAAAATATGTACTTATGCTATAAAATGTCTTGTTTTGTTATTTTTTAAAATATGACATTTAATTTTAAGAGAAATGCTATAAGTACATAATATTGTACATAGAGGTGTACATAACACTCACATTAAGTATGTCCTACCAAAAATAAAAAATCAAGTGGACTCCACTCCATGTGAGTGTTATGTACACCTCTATGTACACTTATTATGTACTTGTAGCATTTTTCTAATTTTAAAGGTATACATATCCAAAATATATGATTATCCAACCGTTGAACCTATTTAATATTATTTTTACTGTAATTAGAATATGTTTTGACTTAGACATCGCTTGGTAGGATAATAGAATATATGTACCTATTATAGTTAATCATTATTTGTTATGTATAACTATGATTGTGATAACCACATAGTTTTTAAACCCGACCCGTGATTCGACCAAGGCAGGTCTCTGGATCATTGCTGATCGGTTCAACCGCTGGGTCATCGGGTCAATTACTGAATCGAATAATTAATTTTAAATTTTTTTAAATTATATATATAGTATTTTTGTCATACAAATATACACAAAAGTAGCAACATTAAACGTTTTGTATATAAAATTTGTACATCAAATTATTAATAATGTTGTAGTTCATAATAAATAATCACCACATAAATATATATAAATTGTTTTTATTTTTGAAATAAAAAAAATAAAAAATAAAAATACAGAGGCCGAGTCTATGAGTTGACCCAATCGGGTCAATGCCCCGAGTCGACCGGATCAAGGTCGGGTCGACCGGTCTGTTGTTATCCGGTCTGAATAGCACACCCTGACCAGTTCCGGCTCTGGGTCGACCGGGACCCAGGTCGACTCGCTAGGCCGATCCGGGTTGAATAACTACAGTGATAACCATGTTGGTATTTGTGAGGATCTCGTTATGTACAAGTCACGAATTCAATAGCAAACGTAAACCTAAGCGCAGCAGATCTAAAGGTTTGACGTAGAGAACTTACGGCTTAAAATTTATATAGATCTGGTTGACCACGAACGGTTGACCGCAATTGATTGACCGCAAATCACGTCTTGGGTTGTACGAACAAGATCAGATCAAAATTGGATCAAACGGATGCAAACAGATCAAAACGAAACTTGCAGCCTGGGAGCTTCCGGCGGCACGTGAGGGCGCGTGAGGCGTCGGACGGCTGCGATCTCGGCGGCGATGGAAAGCTCTCGTCGAGACGGTCGTCTGGGTATGCTGTACGTCTCAATCGGACTTCCGGTTAGTTCTGTAGGTCAAAATATATTTCGTCTCGGTTTACCTACAGATCTTCTACTGTATTACTCAATACACCCTTCTTCTACTTGTACCAGTGGAGCAACAAGAAGAAGATAAAGCTCGAATGAGATATAGAGAGAGAGAGGCGTGAGGCGTGTTAGAATGAGATTGGGATTCTCTTCTCATGAGCTTAATGATGTATATAGAGCTACAGTAGGACCCTTAAGATATTAGGAAAAGAGTTCCTTAATTAATTAGACTAACTGTGAGTCAATCCCACTCTTCTAACTAATTAAATAATATTAATGGGCCATCAATATTAGATTATTGTACTCCCTTTTCGTAGCCCAATTACATTTGAGACTCCAATAATAATTACTCGATTTACCTCCCCACGTTTAAGATATAATGTTCATTAATTAATTCGATTACTGACAATCAAGAATTAATTAATTTATTATTATTTCACCGAAGCTAGCGCTCGTCCATCACATTCTTATTATGCCGGAACTTAATCCACCTGCAGGGTTTAGCATAACAATCCTTCATGAACTCACTCCGGAGACATCATCAAACTAACGCATATGGTGACCGTAAATATCCTAACAGCACATCTTATATATAATAATATTACCCAAAACAGTAGGAATTAATCCAGCGAACTGAACCCCACCCATGTGAATCAAAGTAATATATATTATATATATCTGCCTGATTAATATCTTACGGGTTAAGAGAACGCAGTAATTAACCGAGGCCTAGTTCATTTACGACGATCAGTATAAAATGAACTTCTCCTCTCTGGGATCCTGTTCAATACATAAATGTACTACTGCAACTAATCAGTCAAGACAAACTGTACAGTTGACACTACAACCGTTCGGATGGGGTGTTCATGTCCATCTAGGTTGTGAACAACTATTCTTGTTCGCAAGTGACTGATAGAGTGATCTTCGGTTCGCCCGATGACGACCCACCCTATCTAAGTGCAGAATAACAAAACATAGAACTTGTTTAATCTAACACAATTCTCATTCATAAAGGGCAAATGTGTAATAACATGCAAAGTCAAGCTTTCAGTATATAACACTAACAAACCAATGTACTAAAACTCGGCCTAGGCGCTGCTCGACAGCCTCCGATTTACATAAATCGACTGAAAAATTCGGTCAGGCCGTCAAGGGGCCTATGCACTCCTAGGTGGCATTGACGGCAATTTTTAATTTTTTTAAATACTAATTAGTAATTACTTTGTTTTGTTATCATATTTTCTTTATAATATATTAATATTATTTATACTTAGATGTGTGGATTTATTATAAGTTGAGGTACTTTTATTTAGTAGGTAATAAAAATAAATAAAAATAATGTATTTAATCTTAATTTTTATGCCCCACCTAAGCGCTAGGCGCTGGTCAGACGCCTGTGACTTCTAGAACACTGGCGACATGTTGTTTTAATTCTTTGCCTACTTTTGTCTAGAACCTTTTTTCGTCCATTTTTTTCCCTCCATATATTGGTCAAATTTTGGAGGCCCATTGTTAGCAAAGTTCCATTTATGAACCATCTTCTAGGAATGAGCAATGCGCGGTTCAGTAAAAACTCCATTGAACCGCAAAAAAATAAAAAACTGAAGTTAGTAGTAATAATAATAATATTATAATAATAATAATAATAATAATTAAACTGCAAAGCAACTTAGAAAAAAGTCAAACCATTTTTTTTACACTAAAATAACCGAATAACATTAAAATGCACGATTCAACTCGGTTTTCGGTTTTATCTTTGTTTTTTAATATACTTTATTCAATTTGGTGCGGTTCTGTGCAAAACGGCACTGAACGGAAAGTCAAACTTATGCAAAATTATAACAATACCGCACCGTAATATAGAATAAACTCGAACTTAAATAGAACTAATTTTTACTTTTTCATAATAATAAAATCAAATCGAACTGAATTGTAAAATTTGGCTCGATTTTTCGATTTCGGCTCGCTTTTACTCACCTCAACATCTTTCCATTTGTGTGACCTCACTGTTCACTAACTCACAAGCAAACCAATCAATAAGTAGCAAATAGTTATCCACTAGAGACCATCCTCATCAAAGCCATTTAGGTGTAAATTTGATCTACTCATGATAAGGACCAACCAAAGGAGCCTTTAGGCAAAACTCAAAATATTCCGACAAGAACCACTGACGGCAGAAAATCCAACGGCCACGTCTCTTACACATGTGCTTCATATCCGATTACTACTACCCCAAAAAGAAAAAAAATCACTTCAAAGAAAAGTCATTATCTTCATAAAATCCCGATGTCCTCGCCACGCGACAAAACAACACATGAGAAAAATCCCAGAATCAGTCAACGAAAGGCCTACAAAAATAACAAACACCAATACGTGGTGCTCTCTCCACACGCCCACGTGTCCCGCACTTTCCGCAAACACCACTCAAAGGATCACATTAAAAAAATTAAAATAAAAAAGAACTACAGATATTTATCCCGGCCTTTTCCGCCCTCATCCGCCACGTGTCCCATCCGCACCCTAGATATTTTCAAGCTCGGCCACTGCACCACGTGTCCCCCTTCTCCTTCCGACCGGTGCACCTTAACCTGCACCATCCCCGAATAAAAGTTTGTCAAAATCAACCAATCAAATCCCACAAATAGTCGGGCCAATCCAATCCCACCACGTACCCCCCTCTGCCCCAAAGAGTTAGTTATCCCACTTCGCTATCCTCACTCCACGTGTCCCCCCACCCACCCCCTTATAAAATCCCCTGTTCCTGCACCGCTTCAAGAACGGCTCACAATTCACAAATGTCTATCCCAATTCTCAAACAAACAAACACAAAAAGAAAAAAAAAATAAAAAAAAATGAGTCACCCCTGTCCAAACTCAAATTCGAGCTCCGGCTCCGGCCAGCTGTCCCGGCTCAGCGAACCCGGAATCCTCGACGAGCGTATCCTCTTGATGGTCTTCGAGCGTCTGGGTTGGGACATCCACACGATCTGCCGGACGGCCGCCGTCAACTGCCGCCTCCGGGCACTCGCCAGACGCCTCCTCTGGCGGGGGCTCTGCCTCCACCGCGCCCCGCGCCTTGTCTCCTCCCTCACCGGCGGCTCTCCGGCCGCCGCCCGGATCCCCGGCGGCTGGCCGTCACTCGCCAAGCTCCTCTTCTTCTGCGGCGGTTGCGGGCCGACCCGCCACTTCCGCCCGGCCCATCCCGCTCCGGGCCACCTCGTCCGGACGGCCCGATTCTCCAAGACCTCGGGCCGGAGCTTCTTGGCCCGAAGATGCCGTGGGGACGTGCTGTTTGTGAGCGACCCGTGTGAGCACCGGGGCCCGAATAGCGGCCCAGATATCGGAGTTTATCGGGGAGTTTTCGGGTCGTTCGCGCAATCGAGGACTCGGGAGTTTTTGGTGACTCGACGAGTGGAGTTCGAGGAAGGGGTGAGGTGTCCGTATTGTGGGGCCCGCGCGTGGAGCATGACCGCGGCACGGCTCATCCCGAGACGGGCCGCGGCCAGGAGGCTCGGGACAGGACAGGACGAGCTCGAGTACTTTGTGTGCCTCAACGGGCATTTGCACGGTGCTTGCTGGCTCGTACACTTGTCGTCTGATGACGATGACGATGATGATGAGGTGGATGCGGATGGTGATGACGTGGAATTTGATGTCTCGGAAGATGACGACGACGGTGGAATGTGAGGTTAGAGTGTGGATTAATTATTTGGAGTTTTTGAAGACATCATACTCCAAATGACGATGATTGATTATCGACAATTGGACATTGGAGAGAAAATGAGGATTTATTGGAAGGTTCTAGAGATGGGTTCTTGAGGAGATATTTTTGTTGGGTTTTTTTTATTAAGTAATTGTGTTGTGGGAGTGAATGCCACGTGTTATTAATGTGAGAGAATATTGGTTTCTGTAGCTAGTGTAGTAGCGAGTCATGTTACAAAAGGGGCACTAGTTGATGGGCCCTTTGTGTTCTTTGTTTTTTTTATTCTCTTGTGATGTTCTTTTTCAGTCATGACCACCTTGAATCTTGAGTTTGAGTTTGTGTTGCGTTATTGTGTCTTCACCATTTTTTTTTTACTTTTTCCACGTCTTTTTCGTGTATTTTTCCAATTGGATTTTAATTCTCTTTGTGATAATTTCTCATGATGGATTAATTATCTCTTTTAACATGAGTGCATAAGTGATAGATTTTCACATCAATCGTGCATGTATCTTTCAAAAGCAGTTGCTTCAAAGCAAAATAAATTAAATTAGTGTAACTAACTTGTTGGGAAGGTGGTGGTCCGGCACACACGGCGAAAATAAAGGTTTTTATATCTTTATCAAAATATCTAAATAGAGCACAATACATAATTTTTTTAATGGAAGCTTCTGGATATATAGCCGCCCTAGCTAACGTTTATGCAATTTCCAACTAATTGAGATCGGCCCTTTATAAGTGACTTAGTACAGAGCCCGTGCGATGTACGGGATGTACAATTTTAAGGCTATTTATTCAGGCTTATAGTTATATATACATGAATAAAAAAAATGTACGGGATATATAGCACGAGATATATTTATTTGGAGAATATTATATTATAAGATGCAATATTCAATAAAAATTTATAATACGCAAGAAAATTGTACAATGTTCAATAAAAGTTTTATAATATTCAAGTGGAGTCTTAAAGTCTCTTGTATATTAAGACTACTAACAAAATAATATTTTAATCAATGAGTTTCCTTTCCTTGTAGCCAAATTGTGAATCTGATTTGAGGAGTACAACAAATCGATATATAGCTGACTTGCTTTTTTCATTGTAGTTTTTTTTTTCTTTTTTTTTTTAATGAATTAAGATATTCTAAAATATAGCAAAAATGAATTTTTTTTATTACAATTAGGAATTTTACTAAATATAGACTCTCGATCTATGGTGTTAATCAACGTTTATGTGTAAAAAATTAGGAATTTTTACCTCTTTTAATCAACGTTTAAGTCTAAAAAACAATAGAGTTATTATCAGTTTTTTTCTACATCTTTTAAAACATAAAATATGAGCATGTTAGAGTTAGCTTATAAAATAATTAATATGTTATCTCATTAAAATATTTATACTAATATAAATTTAATTTTAGCATATAAATTTATCCCTTGATATAAGAGAAAGTAACAGTTTTACTTATTGTTGTTCACCATATAATATTTAATTATTATTTTATTATATAATAAAAAAAGAATATTGTTAAATAGTGTAGTAGAATTGTTATAAAATTATATGATTTTTTTTTTACAATATGGATTTAATATTTTTTTATGATTTGATAATATAAACAAATCTATACTTAACTTTGACAAATAAAACAAATAAATACTTTAGTAAGTATTTAATGTATATACTAAATAGGAATATATTTGGTATAATCAAATACCAAATATAATCAAATAAGTCAAAGTGTACATTTTTATTTGGTATTTGATTTTTTTTATTATTAAAATATTTTTATTATACTTACCTTTTTAAAATAAAAAAAATAAAAAAATCAATTAAATAAATAAAATATTATAATACCAAAATAGTAATGGCATTTAATGCAGTTGACTTTTCTGGATAGTAAATGTAGTAAATAGAATCTCCTTTTATATAAGTATAGATATAATATTATATTATGTTGCTCAAAATAGTAATGCATTTATTGCATTGACTTTTCAACTTACTAAATTT